CAGTGTGTTCCTGTTCACCGACAGTTTTCATTTAAGCAATTATCTCATTTTTATAGCTCTGAATTTTTATCATTATTATCATTATGAATATTTATCATTATTTTATCATCATTATCATTATTATTTTTATCATCATTATCACTCAAAGATAAAATGTCTTTCCTTATGACTGTACAATGCTATGAATATAGGGGATAAGAGAATTCCAGTTCATATATACAACTTGTAATACATACCATCAGATTTTTATCCAGAAATTATATGCAAAAAGAATTGTATAGAAGTCCATTCACCAATTTCTGGGCAACCTTTCTTGATCTTTACTATGTTTTAACTATAATCATATTAAATATATGACAAGAAGGRCTGTGATTTCATAGCCCTTTCAGAATTACTCCTAGGCAGAGGTGACCAGCTCAGCATTTAGTAACAAATGATGAGCAGCATCCTATCAGCAATGCATGGGGCCTAAATTTTTACTGTCTCTGCTGGTCATTGCTTGCCTCACTGTGCCCAGTACCTATTCTTCCTCCATTACAAAACTCCTCTTCCACTCTTTAAGTCTGCTGTTTATAATGCTAATAAATACAAAATTATTTGTTAACCTTATGTCATTTTTCCATTTCTAGGCAGCAATTCGCAAAGAGCTAAATGAATACAAAAGTAATGAAATGGAGGTACATGCATCAAGCAAACACTTGACAAGGTAAGGTTTTTTTACTACAGCTATTTATTTCTTTTGCCTACTAAATAAGACTCTGAGTCCTAAATATGCAGATTTTGTTCTCACATATTGATGTAGGAACAGAATATGCACAGGAAGCTTTATTTCAGAAGTAAATGGAAGCACTTCTCTCTCCATTCAGAATATGGTTTTCTGAGTTGTTTTAGATTAGCATCTACGGATTGATGCTACTACATGATAGATCTGCTATAGTGCATTCAGCCTGTAGCTTTTAGTAGCACTTAAATGTTGGTCCAGTTGGAAGGAGTGCAACCCCTCCACTTTTCAACAGCAGTCTAGCAGAGAAGTCATGAGACTGGCAGAGAAGTCTAGCAATGCAAGTCACTGGCTTGGACACTTGTTGCTCTCTGAGAGACTGGGCCACCGCAGGGGTGGGTATGAATCCAGTGCTTCTAGAAAGCCGCCTGTACCCACACTGTTCACAGCTACCTTTCCTGTTGGAAGGCAAATGCACAGTCCTAACAAGCATGAAACCACTGGGATTTTGAAAGAGGGAAAAATTGCAAAAGAGYTGATTCCATAAGCACTGAAGTAACTTGCACAAAGACTTTGTCATTTATACGAAAAAAATATTTAAATAACGATCGATTATTTCCTATAATTTCTATTAGGTCCTCTTAGTTAGTCCAGTTACTCTTAAAACACAATTTTAGGAGTTGCTAGGAACACTGTCCACTCTTCCCAAATATATGAGCCCTCTCAGGCACACTTGGTATTAAAATAAGCTGCTTAACATTATACTAAAAACTTGGTGTCCAGTCTCACGTTCTGGAAGGTTAAATTTCAGTCACACCTGAGGCCCTATTTCCCTGTCCACTTCTTAACATGGAATGAATCTCATTCTGACCAAGGGAAAAAAATCAGTATTTCTGACAAAATATCACCGGACTGATAGAAAAAAAAAATATATATATATATATATATATATATATATATATATATATATAAAAGTTTGGCTGCATATGAAGTGTAAAAGGTAACTTATCCAACTGAAATTACCTGGGAGTTTTAGTGGATTAAAATAACATGTTTTGGAATTTGGTCCAAATTAGAATTAAACAGCCTTAAAATTTACAACTACTGCCAAGACATTACAAATGTTTGGGGCTTTAATTACGCATCTCAGCCAGGAGAACAAGCCTCCAGAGCAACGGTGCTATTTTCCAGACAGAATCTAAGATTAGAATACATATTAAACCAATAGTGCTTCATATTTTCCAACACATAAGCTCAACATTGCTAATTCTTATAAAATAACTAGATCATGGCTCAATATAGATTACTACGAACAATAACAAACTGTGGCCTAATTCCTAAAACAAACATGCAAACAAATCCCCACACATACAGTTGCATTTGCACTCTAAACTAATTGCAAATTGATTCCCTTGGAGCTCRAGGACTGCAACTGAACTATAGTTGTGACATGCAAGTGAAAAATTATACTTATTTATACTGTTAATGCACATTTAAACAGAATACTTATGGCTGGACTTGATCTTGAAGATCTTTTCCAACCATAATGATTCTAAAGAAGCACTATTTTTGTTAATGCAACACTGTCTTTATGAATTCTATTTTTTGAAAATTTCAAAGTGGTTTGAAAAATGTCTCTTGATTTCTCCTAGATTTCACAGGCCATAGAAATTTTCTTCTGAGAAGAATCTGTCTTTACTTTTTGATATTGCTGCTGAACACATATCAGGGAATACAGAAGTGTTTCCCTAACGTTCAGTCCAGGATACCTTGATGTTATGTGAAAGGAGGACTCTGCAGATGAAACCTGTGCAGCATTCAGAGACGGAAAAACCAGAGGATGTTCTTCACACTGAAACCAGAAGAGTGATGGCCTGTGGAGTGGGAGGATCTGCTGAAACTGACTGGAGTAAAGCTGCTTGGAGGAACCTACTGCTCTCCTTTAACACTTGTTTTAAACTGTTTTGCAGTCTATTTTGGAAAAGGAGAGGTTGTGCATGTACAGGCTTTACCATTCCAAGGCCTCTGACATAAATGGACATGACACACTGTCATTCAGTATTACGTTGACAAGACATTTTGAACTTAACCACAATTAGTTTGTAAAACACTTAAGTTCATGTTCTAAAAACTAATTTAATGTATTATAATTTCATTTTTATATAATGTCTAACAAACACAGCTGCAAGCATTTTTGAATCCTGTTAATTTGTTCTTTAATTAAATGACTACTTATTGCAGGAAATGAACATGTTTCTTTAAGCTTTTTTCAGGGACTGTGGGGAAGGGAAGAGATTGCAATTGGTATGCATTAGATCATATTGCTTCTTTACCAATACAGAGTCTTCAAAAGCATAAATAAGGAGTCCCATCTGGCAGAATATGGATGTTTTGGAAAAGATCCTAAATGGTTTAACCTGATTGTTATTTTATACTAGATAAGGATCTGGCCCTCTATGGACAATTAAATTCACTGTCACTCCCATTAAAAACTACTAACTACTATTTGACAACCACAGATGACTGATAAGGTAAAAATGTATTTGTAGAGAACAAGTTCCTGCATTCTTAGTAGTAAAAGTGCACATACAGTTTAAAGATTTCTTGAAGGCAAGTTACCATGAAAAGTAACAAAGCATATAGGGTTTGATAAGAGAACTGTAAAGCAAGGCATTCTAATAATGCTTGACATCCAGAGGCATCTGAGTGTACTGATGAAAATATTTCTAGAGGCAAAAAAAACCCCAAAGAAATACAATGATAATAGGTAATTGTTTCTCATGAGACTGCAGTTAAATRGAATGGTTTTAAGTGAAAAAAAAATCTCTGCAAGAGTTTCAGATACTACTAAAAAGACTTTCAAAAGTAAAAATTTATAAAGACTTCATCTCTTGTTGCATCTGGGCAATGTTTTTATAAATTAAAGGTACAAGGGTAAAGACTCATGGCTGGACAATGCAATTGCATTCCTCTATTTCATCATGAGACCTTGCTAAAAATAGCAGCTATATTACTTTTCCAATATATCTTAAATAGTAAGAAAAGAAATTGAGTGCACTTTTTAAAAGCTTGCAAAGATAAGGGAAAACAGTACTTCATATACAGTTGAACAAATCAATTCAGACAGTAAGAGATCTTTATCGTCTCATGAGGTCCATCTAGTGGAGACAGCAAGTGATTACATGCTCAAGGAGCCTGTCTCTGAGAATAAACTTTAGTAAATGAGTATTACCGGAAATAATGAGGGACAGATCAGGAGGTCCATGATTTACRGACCAGAGAAACTGGGACAGAGAAACTGCATGGGCAAGCCAAAAAAGAATGAGGAAAAGGAAATGGTTAAGTATTACCAAAGATGCAGACAGTGGTGAGATTCTGCAGAAAACTTCTGCATGTCTTCCAAACAAACAAAACTTATAGACAGTCCTTAGGGTAGAGGGGTTAATGGAATGAATGACAGAAGTATATATGATGTTGAGAAAAGTAAGGCTCATAATATGCTGTAAAGTTTAATTATAAAAAGAGGGCTATAACACAAATGAGGAATTGTTAGTCCAAAATTGGATAATGCATTACTCTGTGTTCATCAAATGAGTTACAGACAAGTTTGCAGCACCGTCTTCAGGCTCCCTTCAAAAGCTCTGTTAGGACAGTCTTGAGCTCAAGATACTAAGATGCTGCCTTGCTTACCTAGAGTCATCTAGGTAGTGCCATCCTAAACAGTGAGCTCTGCATCACRCAGACAGGCTCTAAAACATGCACATTCCCTGAGTTAGTCTCTCCAACGATTACTTCATCAGCTGTAAATCCCTCTTCTCTCATTTCTTTAACAGAACGTAAAAGAAAAATATTAAAGGTATTGTTCTAGACCTGAAAAAAAATGAAGAGTATTTGCAGCATTGCAAATAAAGACTAAAAGGTTGCTTAGAAACTTTGAAATACTACATAGTTCAGGTTTTTGTACTGTAAAAAAGAAATTAGAGAAATATCAGCTTAGAATTTGCATGTCTAAGCTATTTAGAGGAAGCATCCTAGTTACCACCTGACAGCAACGGATAAAATTTTGAGTGTGAAACCTAGATACGTGGAATAGATATTAGTGTATAGAATATATTTCTGAGTTAGAGATACTAGGCCATCTTGCCAGCTTGTCAGGCATAAAGTACTTGCTAAAAAGAGATTTTCTGTTGCTAGAATGGAAAAATTATTACAGATTTAAAGCAACATGGCAATGACATGATTGTGCAAAAAGGAGACAGACAAGATAAGTTTTTCCTACAACGTTTAATACAAATACTTGCAACAGAGTTCAACAACACCTCCTTTACAATTTTGTTTTCTATTAGAAACTCTTACTAAAGTCTAATATCACAGACAAGTAGGGTGGAGCTCTCGGACTTTTATGACAATACTCTGGATCAGATAAAATAAATATTCTGTATATGCAGACCCAAAACATGGATTGCAAGAGACCATTTTTAGCTGTAAATTAGTTAAATAGAGATCCATTCAAAAATAGCACTTTGCTAAAAATCCAAAAATCTGCATATTTTAGCAGTCAGTAAAATAATCCCAAACCTAACAGAGAAGAAATCTTATCTACAAAAGACTTTAATCGCATTAGAGCGAACTATTCCATTACAATACTTTGCTTTGATTGTAAAATTCAAAACAAAGCAAAACAAAACAAAACCAACCCTCTTCCCCATCCCCCGAAAACCCTAATTATATTTTACATTTTTTTAAAAAAGTGGGTTTATATTCTCCTTGAACTTTGGGAAAGTATCTGAAATCATTACACTAGAATTTTCTGTCTTCTGATAGAAATAGTGATTGCAGTCCTCTGCGAACATTAAAGAGCTCCTCTTCTTGCTGTGCACAAAGCATTATTTATCACAAAATTTAAATAAGATCCCTTTAAAGACATAATTCTAGCATATAGTGTGTTTCATTCATACAATTGAAATATAGTACTTTTCCTTTCCTTGTTAATATTCAGTATATTAAGACCCAGAACTAATATATCCATATCTTAATTATCTCAATCAGAACAGTTTACAGTATAAAATATCCAATGTAAAATATTTGCATTTTATCTCAATTGCTCTTCTGAAAGTGTATGAAAAACTAATTTTAGTAAGTCAACATGCAAACATCTATGCTTACTTAAAAATAATAAAAAGGAATAAAACTCCATTTACCATTTCTTTAAGAAGTTTCTCTTGAAGTCCTTTCATATCTTCTTTCATCAGATGCATCTATAAAATAGACCGAACACTTTTTCCCTGCTGACAATCATTAAAACGTTCTCAAGAAGGTAATTATACCGCCAAATGGTTTATAATTGATAGAAAAAAGAGATGCACAAACATGTATAAGCCTGAAGAGAGGTTTGTGTCTAATTTGTTCTTTCTTACACGATTTAACACTGGTAAACAAAGCCATGAAATACAGTATAAACTTCGCAGCAATTTTCCAAATAATTGTACAGTCTTCTAATAGGTGAAATTTAGCCAAAAAAAAGCTGAATATTGCTACATTAACGGATATTTTATGATAATGCAAACATCTATGCTGGGGACAAAGGTATTCTTTGGAGAAAAAAAAACACCTGCTGGTATAAAATGAAATTAAAAAATGATCAAAAACAACACAAAAATGAAAGCTTGTCATACCTCAGAAGTAAAAATATGTTCCTCATAATCAAGAGAGTGGTAGATGTTTTTTTCAAATGAAGTTTTAAGAATCTGAATCCTAGGGAAATGAAATGCAGTTCAAACTATTTCGCTACATATAGATAAACCATGCACAACATGCATCCCTTTATTTGTAGCATATTACCACTTAAAAGCATGAATAAATATTACGGTCATTATTACTTTGGGATATTGCAGTAAATGAGTAGACATTTAATTGGATACTAATTACATTTTCAAAGCCACATAGCTTTTCTCTCTTCTTTATGGAGGACAGCAATCACAGAAAGTAATCCTTGGCCCAATTCGTAACATGAATAAACACAAAACACAAATCTCAAACCAGCATTAATGAAATCTACTAACCTCTGCTGCTCATTTTTCATGTATGTAATAAAAGTATGTGCGTGTTTTTTCCAAAAGTTCTAGAACAAAAAGAAACAAAAAGAAGAAAATGAGTAGGAAAAAAAAAAGTTGTATAAATGGAAACTCAATAACAACTAATAACTTGCTATCTCAGACTCAATACAGAACGGTTAGCGGCATACAGAGTCACCGCACACGCTTAAAAAAAATGGGGGGGTGGGGGCAGGAGAAAATGTTATTTCAGCAACATGAGGTACTTCAGGAGGTTCATCTTCATGGAAAAAGTACAGTTTCGAAATTGTTGAATAGAATATCCATAACATGTTAACCATAATGTTTAAGTGCTGTTAAAATAAAACCAAAGCGTGCCTTGAGAGAGGAAAAAAAATCCAGTCCTGTGTTCACATTAAAAAAATTTATTAAGTGCAATATCAGATCATTAAAAGTAGTAGTTCAATCTAATTTTTATATATATATATATATATATATATATATATATATATGAAGCGGCCTAGTAGAAATTCCAAGGGCATGGCATAAACCAATCTGGACATCTGAAAGCAACTATTTAAAATCTGACTTAGTGTATATAGGTACATCTTGTATGCCTAATGTACCACATCCTGTGAAGCAAGATAAATATATTTTTAATTAAAATTAATAATTTAAATATTATGTGAAAAAACACATCTTTCATGCTAAAATGAAGTACAAACCGAGAATTCTTTTTCCATATTTTTCAAAGACAGAGAATCTTTCTCAAAATTCTCAAGCTCCTCAGTGATAGCAAAATGGAACTTGTCCAGCTGCCTGATCCTATCAAAACAAAGTAAGTTACATTTAGAATGTATTTGTTGCACCTAAAATGTGTTTTGAAGTTAATCTTTTGAAATAGACCTGCATTCATGAAGCTGAAAACTCATTGTTGCCAAATGCTGGTGGGCAGCTCTTAATGACTGCTTAGTGAAATAATCCATTTTCCTTGATCGGCTCTAGAAGAGTATGTTTTAATATTAGTTTCAGATTATTTTAACAAAAACCTATTAATATACTAAGCACTGTAATTATTTAATATCCCAGATGGTACACAGCAAAAACAATCTTTATTACATTATTTCCTTATCCTTTAGAAAAAGCTATTTATTAATGATATATTAATAAACATAAGTTCATATTTTGGTCAAAAATCTATTTAAAGCAGAATATAAATTATTCTAAAAAACCTAATGTATACTTCCTCTATTTTCAGGAAACCTAGCATGTGATGTGTGTCTGCAGCTGTCTTGCATAAGGGAAAGCATGATTTGGGCTCATTCTTCCTTTTCTCTAAGTTAAATTCACAATGTTGAACAACTGAAAACCAAAATGTAGTAACTACTTTAAATAAATAAGCTTGTTTCTCACAAGAGAAGATAAAAAAATAAAGCAGATCACAAAAACAAAGTGCGATTTTCTAGTAGGAATTGAAAAAGGTTTAAACAGTCCTAAATCCGCAATTTCTTAAGTTTCTATATGCACTTAGCTATATCCGTGTTCTTTAAACCAAATTCTTTAATGCAAGTTATATTTGTATGTACCTAAACATACAATTAATATTGTATGTGAAATGCCTTGCCTGGATTTTCCTAGTAAATTCTGCTCGAAGCTTCTGACATATACTGATAGTTGAACAATCAGGTCCCCAATTCTCTCCATCCAAAAGAGGCAGATCATTTACAGATAGAGTAGATATGCTTTCGGATACTTTAATAAAAAAAAAAAAAAAAAAGTCACATTTCAGTATTAAAAAGCATCAAAAGCATCATCTTGTCTCTGGTTATACCAGGAACCATCAAGCTGCTATTAAAATATGAAGCTTAGTTTCATCAATTAAGTGGCTGATAGGCTTTTATTTTCATTTGTTTCGATATTATTTTATCGAATTTCTGACTTTTTACAGACAATTCAAGTACTTATGTTTTTATAGTTACATACTTTTAATTTTTTTTTTTGCACAACTATACTAAAAAAACAACTTTAACTCAACAGCTAACCTCTGTAAGCAGTATCATCATTTGGTTTAAATAATTTTCTAGGCTGCATCTTTATTGTTTTGTTTCCTTTCTTTTCCTCTTGCTTTTTTGTTTCTACTTCATCAGAATTGCTTTCTGTATCACTGTGGTACCTTCGTTTGAGAAACATTTGCACACTTGGCCCTTCAACAAACACGAAGACAATGTTTAGTTTTAGGATTATTTAAAACAATACCACTGAAAGACAAGAGATTTTATTCCCTTCAGATGAAAAGTCTAAGAGCAGGTGTCCTTATGTGGAGTTCCATATAAAATTTAGTGAGCACTGCATTTATAGATGGCATGTTGAATAGGTATGTGTACTTCTAGTAAATAAACGATGCAATTCAGTGCGAAGCAGAAGGCTTACTGGTCCACACAAAAATAGCTTCCTAAATAAAATCACTCATACCAAACTCTATTTTCCCCAATAACCCAATTTCCCACTGTTTCATTATCAGCGAAAGTGCTTCTTGATCCAYCTAATTCATATTATAGAGAAACTGTATTTTGGAGGCACATTTTCAGTTTATGTAGATAGTGGAGAGTATTTAAAGAAGTGCGAAAACATGAAGACTGATGTGAAAAAATAACATTAACTTAGGAAAGGAATAAAAAAATGAAAAATATAAAAGAGAATAGGATTCCAATACTTGAGTGATACTTGCATGCCAAAGAAACACTTTTATTAAATATTACAAAGGAAGACTTTTGTCTAAAATTAAACATTTATACCAGACTCATGTATGGGGCCACAAGGTTCTTCACACCAGGACTGTACTTTACTTCCACTGGAAATAGATAATGGAGATGGTGGCAAAGAATCCTAAAAGAAAGGTCAATGCATATTAGCTTCCACAGTGTAGAAGTCTTCATCAGAAACCCATATTTATGCTGCTTTTCTTTAATCTACAAACATAACCAGAGCAAGGAAAAATACCAAGTGAATTCTACATAATCTTGTTATATAAAAGAAAAAATAAATTCTTCATCACATTAACAATTAATGATAACAAAAGGTCAAGCAACCAATAAAGTCTACCTCTTCTTAGTTTGAAGATAAAAAGTATTCTTAAAGGAATCATTAGCGCTGGTGTTTTGCCATAACAAATATTCATGAAAATTGGTACRAAGGTACAGTAGTTCATTTGTCAGTACAATAATAATTTCTTCATTAAGTACTGTAACACTGTGATAGCACATTTCCACATTAAGAACTTCTGCATGAGGATGTCATAGTTCTTTATAAATAAACTGTTTTGTTTTTAAAAGTCAAAAAGAAAATATTACCTTGTAACATACTAATTATAATTGGTCTTATTGAGACTCAATTCTTTTTATCCACATGAAAAAAGTTAAAGATATGCAAGACAGACTTACAATATTATAAAATATTATAAATATTAGCGTACTTCTTTACTTTTGATAGGTTTAGTGATATCTTGTACTTTTTTTTCAAGAGGACGCTTCTCGGAAGAGCACAGCTTAAGACTTGAATCTTCATTAGCCTCACATGTTTCAGATACTGATCCCTCTGCATGCTTTCCAGTGAGACCTTTGTATGTGGTTATGGGAGTTAAGCTGAGCTAAAAATTAGGAAATAACAAAGGCATAATTGAGAAGGTATGTGCAAAAGTGTACTACAACTAAGATTAAGAAACAATAATGAACTACTGTATTTAACTGAAAGATTAAAAGAAAAAATATTTAGAATACATTGAAATGATGAGATAAAAAAAGATACTTTTCCACAAAGGACTCCCACTACGAATGGGAGACAACTGCAAAGCTTTTTTCTATCTGCAGAAATTCCAAATGAATTCCAATTTAAGCTTTTTTGGGGAAAAAACTAATTAATATTCATGCTGCACAATAGTATTTGCATAATTTCTGCTTTGCTCATAACATGAGAACAGCTTTGAATGACTGACAAATACTACCCAAATTTGTTTTTTGAAATATAAATCCTCCTTTGATAAGTTGTTTTTTGAAAATTTTACATGTATTCTATTTAATGCTCCCTTCCTGGGATACTCATTCAAGAGACGAGTGAAAAAAAACATGGTATTCAGAACTTGACATCCTTCAGAGAAGGATACAAGAAACCAATTTAAACCAGTTTCAGATTATGCTAACTTCTATAGATCACTTAAAATCCCCATACAATTACAAGTCTCTTTCAGTGAAACTCAACCAATACTAATTGCTTGTGTGTCAAGCAGTATCTATCTGGCATTTTTAGAACTAGTAAAAATCTGGGAATAGCATTTTGGTTATGTCTGGTATATGGGTGGAAAACAAAGGCCTTTCCAAAAATGGAACTGCTTCATTTAAAACACAAATAATGAAAAAAAAAAGGATATTAACTTGATATTCTTACCAAAGATGCTGCATTTAAAACAGACGAGAAACTTTTGTTTCTAAAGGTTAAATTCTGACCAATAGCCCTAGGGGACTGATTTAGATGTGTAGCTTGAGTATTCTTTGTTTGTGGACAGAGATTGCTTGGAGAGATTCCTTCCACAAAGTTCAAAGATTCCATTTTTTCTGGTGTGGACTCCTGAAGCCCAGGTGATCTTTCACTAGATACTGGCTCTTGAGTAAAATCACCCTCTGACAGTCCTTCAACACCTAGAAAACAGTTGTTTAGCTGTGAGCATGAGGAATGAAAGGAATAGTAGTATGTTAAAGCCAAATATTGTTAAGCGTCCAAGCCTTCAGTGTCTACAAAACTCAGTGCACAAAATGTGACTCTACTGAATGATTGGTCATCTTTGCCATACTGAAAACTGTCTGCATCCTCCACATTATTTTAGCAGCTACCAGATGAATTCTAACAGCCTGCTTTCAATTACATAATGCACTTCTGTATTATGCTAACGCCAAATAATCCCACAAATCTATAACAATGTTAGTGATATTTCAAAACATTTTCTTATGCTATATGGTATACACATATATGGTTGAATTACAGGATATTTCATATTATAAAAGCATAAAATATAGAACTGCCTTACTGTGATGATACTCATCTAACCTTCAACTTTATAGAAAGTATCTCCAAAACACACAATCAAAATACATACATCTCACTGCCTCAAGTGATGCAGGACTTTCAGATGAAGGCATTTCAATTTCTGTTGGATTTACAGAATTCTTTGATTTARTAAATGCTTTATGTGTATAGATTTTTTTCTTCCTTGGCTTCACTGATATAATTTTCTGTAGTTCCTTCTGCTGATTCTCATTTTCCTTTTGCCCATTTTTATGTTCCTATCAAAACAGAGCAGTTATAAAAATATTACTTTCAAACATAAAAAAAAGGTATTATTTACGTGCACAGCTGAACAAACAGAAGGCCCCCAAAAGAAAGATCATTAGAAGGATATCAGATGTTCTAATGTTAAGCATTCAATTTGTGTAATTCAGTATCCAAATTTCTGCTCTCATACAGTTTCCTACTGTTAGAAACAATTAGTGGTGCTTCATGAATTAATCAGTTAATCTGAAAGACTTTTCCATGTAAATTAAAATTTAAGCTAAAAAATGAAAATGTTTAAGCCCTATGGCATTGATTTGTGTATAAACTAGGCTAAGAAAAAATTTAGATATTTACCAGTATTGACATAAAATCTCTCTGAAGATTTTTTTTTTTACATCAAAATAGGTATAGTGAAATCAAAATCACATTATGCTCTCAAAGAACTTACCTTATATTGACTAACATCTCCCATTAACACAACATTTTAGAACTTTAAGTAAAGGACCTGGCAGTTCTTTGGAGCAGAAAACAACTCAGAAATAGAAAATTAATTACTATTATTAGAAATCTAAGGTTTAGAGTAGTATTTGGGCCTAGTTTTCTATAGCAGGTAACCACTCACAATTAAAATGGTGGGTAGCAGAAACCGTGAATGCTACAGAAAATTCAGTTAAACTTGTTTGTGCGCTGCACTCAATTTTCAGAATACACTTTGGAAGATGCTTCACAAGATGATTTTTAGGAATACAGCGCAACCATTTACCTTTCCTCTTGACTTCTCTCTCTTAGAGGTGCATGGTGAAGACAATTTTTCACTCTCTGACTCTGAACTCGAAGGTTCCTTGTAATTTTTTGCTAAGGCAGCTTTTCGAGGTCGCTTTGGTCTGGTGGTTTGTTCTATCATTTCATTAGTTCTGTCATTTTGTTTTTTACATTTCACTGTCTTTGGACAAATAAAAACATCTTCAATTTAAATCAGAATAACTACAAGTGTAAATGTCAGGTAACTATTTAATTACTTAGAATCCATTATTTCAAAACAACTAAACAAGCATTCTCAATTACTGTGTGAATAAAGCACTGAACAGCTGATAAACTACACRTTAATTCATTAGTGAAAATGTTGTTTCCCTTATTCTCCAGACTAAAATGAACCAGACTGGTAAATCTAACCAATAAAAGTGCTAGTTTTTGCTATTAAAAAGTCAAAACTGAGCCTAGAAAACCAGCAAATTATATCAAAGAGTTAAATGGGAAGTTACTGAATAGAAATTATCATGGTACAAGCACTTCCATGGATCTCTGCTGACAGTTCTACAAAAGTCCTCAAGTTTTTCATTCACATAGGAGGTGTCTATTAAGGAGGAAGTAGTCATCATCRATATTTCTAAATAATAAAACTTTCAAGAGCATCGAAGTACAAATAAACACCCTCTTAGCTAGTATTATTATTGAAAGACAAGTTAAAATACCACATAAAAAGAATATACTACCTGAAAAGACCTAAACGGATTTTTTAAATCATTTGAAATAAACATGGAAAAATTTCATACATCTAGCAAAGTAATTTAAAAAGCAATTCATTTGGTAAGTTGTTTTCAATATCTGTTACAAGTTAAAAGTTACAGTTACCTTTTTCTTTTTTGTATTTTCTCCTTTAGAAAAATCAACCTGGCATGCAGGTTCAAGGATTTTACCTGTTGTTAAAATAAACACTGTTAGGAAGTAGCAGCAGCAGAGACAGATGTTTGAAATTTACAGTTTAACAGTAAGACTATGGAGTCCCTTTTATTTCCACAAATCTGGAACTGCTTTTACTCCATTATTTAAGTAAAAGCTTTTTTTTCCTAAAAGAACAAAAAAAMCCCTCAAATCTAATTCCTCTACCCCATCAAAACTCATAAATGATTAGGAGAACTATTTCTAAAATTCCTTCTGATTGGACATATGACAACAAAAACACGTGGTAGATTTAACAGCACATTATGCACTGCACAGTTAGCAACTGTAGATAAATTAAATATAGCATTCTTAACGAATATAAACAAATCTTACTTTTTTCTGTGCTCACTGATTTCCCTATGTTTTTACTTCTACTGTAATCAATTAACTGTGGTTTCGATTTTCTATTTGATTCTTGCAGCCAACTAATCTCTGTCTTACTGTCATCATATTTGTAGTCTGTATCTGTGTCACTAAAGAGATGCTTCCTGTTTCGATTGTTTTTAGTCTACAAAAGAACAGAAGACCATTTAAAAATACACCTTTCACTTACAAATGTGGTATTTAAAGGCAGGAACACCAGATAAACTGATCCCCAAAACCTGAGCCTTACTTTTTTCTCTCCTTTCATTTCAGCACTAATTTTACTGGCAGATGAATTCCTTAAGAAAACAAGAAAGAAAAAAAGGACAGCTTTTAAGAAAAAAAAAGTGTCAAATATTTTTTCCAAAACGTTCTGCTATTCATATGCAGGGATTAAGGATTTAAATAAATCTACCCATTTTTGTTTTCTCATTCATTTCAGGAAAAACTCAAATCCTAAAGGAATATCTTATGTTCTAGAGACAAACAGCAACACATAGTAACAATAAAATTTTCCTCTTGCAGGCTGGTTAGTAATGAAAAAATCATCCCTCTTTCCAGGATGTTATATCCCTGTAGTGTTCCATGAGGAGCGCTTAAGTTTTCTACTCCATGAAATACACCATTTCATTTTTATCAACTTATGGACGACTTTCCCACAGAAAAACTTTTAAATAGCCTAAGATATCATGGTAAGTACATTTATTAAAAGTGGTAACATCTCAACTTGGTTGTCACTCATACATTCCCTGGACTAGCATAGAAGAAGGCTGGGCAATAGAGAAGGTATTGTTCTGGATGACAATCAGGGTGGACTAAGGCACAATATCCCTACCCCTTTTTGGCTGGATTTGTACAAACGCTCAGTTCAGTAACACGCAATTCTTGGACCTGAAAATGTAACAAATAAGTGGGAAACAACTGAAAAAAAATGATTCAACACACTCTTTAAACAAACTTAGAATGATAATTTCCATCTCAGAAATTATTTAAAAGAAGAGCTGATGGTAAAAGCAAGGAGGAATTAAGCTTTTGTATCTCAGTAGACTAATTTTCAATCATTTTGCCCACTGCTGCCTTCTACTCAGCAAGTTTTCTCAGCAATAAAAGGCACAGTATTGTCTTTTGCTTTTATCTTTACTAAATTTGTATTCAACATCTGAGCAAAAATGTCTGTAAGAAAAGAACAGAAGGCAGCTTCTACTGTTTCTAATCATAGATTTATGCTCTTTCATTCTCAGTTCAGAAATATGTTTTAGAAGATTCCAATGGCCAGAAGTTTATGTCGGTGCACATTATTATACAATTAACAATTATATAGCTATTTTTACACAAAAGTTAGAAATACAACATCTTACTCCAAGCTTTATTGTAGGCTCATCAAACCCACTGATGTTGAAGTTGTAGATATCATCCCTGTCAAATAAGCACATAGAACATTTGTGTGGGTGAATTAAAGATCATCTCCCAAAATGGGTAAGAAAAATTGGAGATATTGTTTGAAATTGTTTCCACTACTCACACAACATGATCTGAAGTTACATTAAGAAAAGTAGCAGTTTTCAGGTTTCTGYTTTGAACTTTTTCCTATACATAAAATCAAAAGGTACACACCTGGATTTGGACTTAGACATTCAAACACACTATCATCTCAAAAAGCAAGCGTTTTCACATAAACTTACGAAAAAACCTAGCAGATGTTCAGGTTCTCTCACATCTGAYGAACAATAATAGAGTAAGGCAAAAGAGGATAAGAGTCGGCAGAAACTAAACGTACAATGTATATTTTCACCCCTTAAGGATATTCAACTCATTGCATTTTTTTTGCCTAAAGGTACTAGGATTCATCTCGAAGTTTGGGATATTTCCTATTTAAGTATTTTATAGTCCCATTTAGTTCAACTTGTCTACATAGTCATCTTTCCTCTACATTTGTAGTATTTCTATATTGAAAAAATTCCATACTCAAAAGAAATTCATTTAATATCGAACTCATTTAATATTGTGAGATTTAATTACACAGTATGTAACTAGGAATAAATTTGCACTTCCCTCACTAATAGGTGCCGATATAAATACTATTCTGGCTAATGSAAAAACAAAATATTAAAAATATTTTAGATATACACATCTTATATTAAACAATAACTTCTACAGAAATATTTAACATTACTTAATATTTATTAACTTTTGTTTTACATCCATTAGCTGTCACTGTATTTTAGTTTTTACATCCTCGTATTTCTGAAGTATTTTCGCAGATTTGTGATATAATAAAACATAGTCCAATGAAAGCAATAATTTAGGTATACCTTATAGACACTGAAATGGGACTTAAGTAAATGTGATCTAAAAGAAATAAAGATACATTTTTTAAAACATTAAGTAGAAAATATGCATTAAAATACTGCTTGTGTAAGTAAAAGCCTTTAAAAAAAAACCCATCCTTGTACTGACAGCATAGCCTAAAAATAATTCTTATATATGATCTCCTGAAGGTTTTCTGCTTCAATTTTACACACACACAAAAAAAATTCTTTTCACCTTTCAATACTGAATTTCAATTTTTCACCTTTCAATACTGAATTTCAATATATGATTTTTCAGAACTCATACAATCATGTAAGTTTTCTCCTCCACTATACCCAAACACTAAGGGCAAAAAGGTTATCTCAAGACAATTTAACAGCTAGTCAGGCATTATAGTACTAAAATGAGCAGGTTAATGGGGATTTTCAGAAACAATTYGTTTTAACAAGCACTTTCATTTTTGTTCTGGAAAAAATATTTCTGGATCACACAGCTATGTTGCATATCCTGTCTTCAAATCCCTACCCAAAGCCTTTAAAAGGTAAAATAATGCTGCAGCCTCTCCATTCCTTTGCATCCATTTACAATCAAACTGTAAAAGAGAAGTGGGGTAACTGTATCTACAGAGTGTCTCACAGAAGCAGCYCGTAAGATATAACTGACAATAAATACATTAAACTGTCTACCAGTCAACTCTTCAAGGAGAGAACTAGGAACTGCGGATGGTTAAAAGAATGATGACTGAATACAAGATTAAACCTTGAACTAGGATAGTTTCTTGAACTAAACCTTGAACTAAAATGGGGGCACATATATTGCGCAATATCCATTAAGTGTCCCAACTACTCCTTTCTCACGAAAAGTGCTTTTAGTGAGTGGATGAGTGAAAGAGAACTCTGACAAGAGAATTTCTGACTGACCCTGCAGTGATCTTCGTTACTGAGACTATCAGACAGACTACTAGTCTCCTGCACTTTGGTAGGAGGTTTACCAGAAGTTAACAAGCAGCTCTGATGAAAGCAGAATGTGAAATACCTGAAAACAGAAGAGTAACTCACACACAAAGCCAGATGCACAAACACACAAGTAAGCAGTTCACATCATACCTGTTATAATCTGATGAGTGTCTTGAGTTGCTTTTATCATCAAGCTTTTGTTTATATCTATCACTGATGTTACTAATTAGTACTTTAGTTGCTTCTTTCATTTCTTTAGACTTTGTTTTCTGTAATGATATTTTGTCAGATTTTTAACTTAGAACTCATTCAACAGAAGCACAAAGCAGTTTCCCCCAAATCACCTAATTCCAATAGACAGTCCTATTCAAGTATTAATTCACATTCCTTTGGGAACCACTGTTCGTTTTATGGGTAACGGATGGGAAAATAAAATAGGATTCATTTCTATTTATTTATTAATTTATTTATAAAAAAAACAATGTTAAGTCACAGTGAAAGAAAAACTTTTTTACTTGACATTAGTTCACTCTATATTAATGGAAGCTTAATATCAGATAATTTTCTTAGATACATAAAAATATATCTGTAGAGTTTTGAAATATTGAAAATCAGGCACTTTCCTGAATTATAAATGAAATAAAATGTAAAAAACTCACTGTCTTTGATTGCTTATGATTTGCAGTCTCTTCTCTAAAGAAAGTAACAGCTTCTTCTTTTGCATTCTTGTATTTTGTAAAATCAGAATTCAAAGATGTTTCAGACACTCTGGCTGAAAGAATGTTTTAAATTATGTTTCAACAGTAGTCAGAAAATTAATCCCTTCTGTACTTAACATTTTCTGTCCAATATGATGAATATTGTTTGACTATCCACTCAGTATTTAAAATTTTTTGCCCTCATTGTGTAGATTTCTTTTTTTTTCCTTCTTTTTTCTATTACCTTATTTTTCTGGAAAAGTACTTTCAAAAACTAAGTAGGAAGCTTTATATTTCACAGCTCTTTCACTAAGAATAGAAACTAATATGGGGACATTAAAAAAAAAAATAGTACCGGATTAAAAATTCATCAGAAACATTTTTGGCATAACAATTAATGAAATACAAACATAACCTGGATGGAATGTATCACCTGATGGCAGATTGAGCTTTTGTTTGTTACAAGTCATTATATCAGTCTCAGGAACAGAGCATGTTCGCTTTTTCCATGTTTTAATTTTATCAAAAGAGTTTTCCAAAAGACTGGGCAACCTAACAAAAATAATACCATCTTATTAAGAACGCATTGCAGAAAATAGCCTTAATCACAATAAACTTTAACCACAAAAYAGGAAACGTGTGATAGATGGTAGATACTAATGCACGTTAGATATTGTAGACATTGTAAAATTCAGACTTTGTAACAGAGCAAACAAAGAATACATGGTTTTACATCAGTATCTAAAAGGAACAGTATCCAATGGCCACCATTCAAGTTGACTCTATCTGTAAGCGGGTAATGTGCCGACTGCTATTACAAACAGATGAAATTGGCACTTTTTTTATGATACAGTTCACTTATACATAAACCCCTGTGTTATTTGAATTTTATATTCTGATGTCACTTGGAAGAATTACTCTGCTTATAATAAAACACTGCCTGAACTCGATTTAACTCCTATCTGGAAGACAAATTCTGGAATCTTCTAAAGCTATATATAAAAATTTCAACTGCGGCAAACTTACACCCAATGCTCTCAAAAATAATAAATTTTTCTTAACAGCGATTACTTTGAATCCTTTTCCAATACTTACAAAGATTTGTTACATCTTCCTACTGGCTGAGAATCAGGAACAACATCTGATATATCATCTAAAGGAGATATTAATCATTATTATAATAATTATAATAAAAGAAATGGACAAAAGTAAAATAAAACTAAACAAAACAACACCCCAAGAACTACCAACACTTGCAAAGCTACTTGCCTGAAGTTGGCTTTTGATTGGCCTCATGTTCTGTCTCATCTAACATTTTTAAAACTTCTTCAGCACACATTTGCTACATAGTAGGACAATACAAAGAAAATGCATTGGCAAAGGACTATACACAGTATCATCTTAAAGGCTGTGTTTTCCCTAATAAAATACTGTTACAGTTACAGAAATCATTTTCATACCTTTTCAGGTAGCTTTGCCTCATTTTGGGTTTTTGACTTCCTTGTGAAACTTCCTTGGCTTTCACAAAATTCACTGTCTAGTGCACTCTTCTGTCTACTCTAAAAAGGACAGTAACATCCACAATCCATACAGGCAAAGTAGTAGACTTTTAGTAAAAAAAAAAAAATGCTTGAAATAATCTAAACTAGACATCTTATTTGTAGTAGTTGACTTCTAAAGCATAGCAATACCAAGAAATATATTTCAGAATACTAAAATAAGAGATTTGATCCAAATCTGATSCCAAAAGACATTTAGAAATTGAAATCAAAGTGTTAGTTTGAAGTTTTTGCTTAACCAGGACAGAATCAAAAAAATACACTCAAGTTGCAGTTATTTAGTGTCATTTCTGTAGCTTTGTTAAGAGTTTAGCAACTGCACTGATCAAAAATATACTAAAATCGAAGAGTGTATAAACACTGGGGACATTTAGAATTTCACCATTATTGCTGACTGTATTATATATTCTTTAGAAGTATTTCAGCACTGCACAACGAATGTGATATTCCATGTACACACCGCTACAAAACTGTACAGGGAGAACTGGTTGTTGACAGAAGCAGGTTAACCCTGGGGTCAAAACTGATGACTCAATGTAAATTCTGGCTAATTTTATAAGTCAGCTTGCCCAGAGACTAAATATGAAATCAAGAGGACAAGAAAACATTATGCAATAGAATAATACATGGGGTTTTTTGTTTGTTTGTTTAATGCAAGTTACAGATGACAAAAAATCTCCCCAAAATACAAAATARGAAGAATTTAAGTGCCCTTTCCCCTCCACGTCCTGCAGCACTATTATTTTCAGTAAAGGACTTAGCTACAGATGATGTGCATACTCSAGTAACTTCTTGATATAAATTCCTTGTTCTGGTCTCATTTACAGCATTAACATTAGTTCTTTCAGCTGAGCTCATCAACTGCAAAGGTAATTTGAGTCGTGCTTTGCAGGGAGTGGCTGCAAACAAACCAGAGACATGTTAGAATTCCACCCTTTGATCCATTACAGTTATTGTGCTGACTGTGCCATCAGTATGTGATTACCACACCCGTGTGGCATGACCACATTATTCTRTAAGTTTAATAATGCTAGCTAGTGGTGGTATCAACTCATTATGTACCAGTAACAATTCTACTGATTTAAATTAAGTTACATAAAGGTTAATAGATCAATAACAGACTGAGGATGTTTGGAGGATGACAATTCTTACATCCTGACACTGACAGAAAAGCTAGCTATATATTAAAATACTTAGCTATGCTTTTGTTGGAATAGACTGCATGATGAATTCCAAATAAAAGCCAAAGAAGTTCTCTTATTCCTTCCTGATTTGAAAATTTTGCCATTTGCAAAAAAAAATTTAAAAAACAGGGAAAATGAAAAAATTTGCATAGATGTCACTAACGGTATAAATTATCTCCTTCAGAAATTAATTAACAATGTACTTCAGAGACTGATTATATCATACTTTTACCCTGAAAGTACTTGCCAACTTACAGGAACTAACAAAAATCAGTGGGCTCCTTGTAGGAAATGTTGCAGTTCCAGGAATAATCACTGATGCTTCAGAGACTTTCCTTTTACGAGATGTGTTTATCTTGAAGCACAAAAAAAGCAAAGCAAAAATATGCAGTTTTAAGGATGAGAAAACAAGATTTCAGAAAATTATTTCCAGGATTTTTTTTTTTTTTTTTTTTTTTTTTTTTATTTACTGGGCTATCAATTTCTATTGCTTCACACATAAGTGTTTCAGGGGCACTTTTTGTACTTTTCTATTTACACATTAATTAATAATCAAAATTAAAGATTTTTGTCTGAGATTAGAGATTGTTCTTTTTCTAAATTAATTCAGTAAGGGACAAACTGTGTCCCTGGTTAACAATCCAAGCAACTTGGATAATTTCCACGAGTTTTCACAAAATTATCCCATAAGCTACAGCAGAGTCTAAGGGAGGACTTTTACTAGAGACCATTGCCAGTAAAGCATGCATTGCATGACAGTGAAGATAAATCAATGGTCTTTATCTTCACTATTGCCCTCATCTTTTCCCCCATCCCTAGCATATCTGTAGCTAGTCAGTAATATAACTGTGCTACATGTATAACTTCATACTCGTGTCACGAAAGAAACAGCAGACTTCATAAATTTTGCTACTTCAACAATTTAAATCAGAGAATCACCTTTGTATAGAAGCACTCCCATTAAATTCATTACCATAACCAGGAAACAGACTTCATCTGGACAAATTCATCAAAGCTATTTTTGCAAGCATCAGTCTCTGTGAACACAATGCCTATAGGACTTGTCTCTAATTAGAGTTATTTCTATACCTTACCATTTAAGCCTCAAAACGCTGTATGAGACATGTACCATAAAGAGATATAAGCATGTCTTGAAATATTCTACAGAGAATTTTCAAAGCATAATGATCTATTAAGTAAAATTAACAATTGCTTTTTATCATGCTTATTTTGAAACTGTAACACTAATAGTAGTGAGAAATCTTTTATTGAAAAGAGATTTATATAGCTTTGTGTCAAGCAACAAAACCAATATCTGCTTTATCATATTCCAATTATAAAATAACAAACATCAAAAGTTTTTTTWATCACAAAATACAATAGATATTTAGACTTGTATTTCTGAGGCAATCTTTCCTGCTTTAATAACTCTACTCTTACCTTGGAGGTATCRTCTTTGCGTATGTCTTCAGTGCTGTTTTTACTCAGAGTGCTCACAGTTCCAGGAGGTTGCTGGATTTTGGACTCGCTGGATTTCTCTTCTACTCCAGCTTTTTCTCCCAAACATGGTGACAGCTGACTTTCTGGTACCAGAATCTATATGGTATTTTGRAGAAAAAAAAAGCGTGCTAAATATTTCTTTTGCTCTCTATGTACATACACACACACAAGAGACATATAATGCATACAATGCATGTTTTAGACACATATAAAAGTCTACATGTACACATACATATCTATTTTTATATATAAACTTCCTTACCCTAACTATCACTTTTAACACTGTGGATTTGGATAGAAACTATACTGCTCATAGCGATTTTGAAAAGCATCTGTTTAGCTTGGAAGAACAGGCTACAAGATTACACTTGATTCACATAAAAAACTTCTCTGCAGGACTTGCATACTTTTTCTGATTCTCTCACAAATGCAGAGGTGAYACTTGCATGCTTACCAAAATAACATAAGAGTTTCATCTTTCAAGATGCTGATAACTTATGATTCATCTTAAATTCATTATTGACCAGAATTAACATAAAAATAAAACACATACAAAAGATTTCCCCACATTCTGAAGCACAATACCTGTGATCCACTTTCATCAAACACAACATGTACAGTTGTTTTGGCAACTGAGGCAGACTGCTTTTTATTAAATCCCTGTAAAACAAAAAATCATCAATGTAAAATACAAACTTTGCTCTATTTTTTTAAACGATCACAAAGGAAATTATTAGGTCAGAGAACATCAGTATCAGAAATCAGGATAAAGGGGAAAATAAATTTTGCACTTGCATCTGCTCCCAAGTTATGAAGAACTGAAGGCAGCCTGAGTGCCACAAGCAGTAATCTACAGTTGATTAAAGATTTCTAAACAAATGTTTTGCATTTTAAAATTCCAGGCCATTATAATCATCCCTTTAGTTCTGCACGGCAATTCTGAAGAAGAAAGAGTAATAATAGCGCACAGTATTCCCAAAGGTAGGGCACTGAGTTGAGTTGCGGAGTTCCAGTTTCAAGTGTTTGATTCAAACGAGTCTTTCCTATTTGCTCTTATCAGAGCTTCTTCAGCTTCCCTGAAATAACATGGATTGGGCCAAAGGAGGAGCCTGAAATTCTAGCGGATAGCAGGGAGACTACAAGTTTGGCTTAACCTCTGACCTACATCAGGGAGATGGAAAATGAGAAGATGCAACAGAAAACAGACCAAGAATGAAATCAATGCACAACTCCTAAGCTTGTAAGAATAAGCTTGTAAGAATAAGCATGGTAGACATGCCATGATACACGGTGGACAAGTCAGTTCTCCACTTGGAAGAATCTAATTCTAATGCAAAACTTGACATTAATCTATTGTGTTGCATTTACAMCATGCAAATGGATTTTTCCTTTAAAATTCCTTATTGATCTTTCCTTTAAAATGAATTYCTACAGCAATTCATTTTAAATATTTTATGCATCTGAAGGTTAACACATTATGGATAAATGCTGCTCTGCAGTGGCCATCACAGTCAGGAACTATGTATAAACACACATCAATAAAATAACCACATTTATGACAACATTCATAAAAACATTCATATGGGAAGAGACATTCATTCTTGGTGAATAAAAACAATCTATTAGAAAAGATGTTTAAATCTTACCTTTAATTTACCTTACCTTAAATTTATGTTCTCCATAAATCTTTCTGGTTGCATCTTTGATTTCCAATATGGAATCAAAATACAAAAAAAAATTCTCTCCTCCTTGATCACCCACACTCATCGGGCTTTTTAGACTGATTGTTAGTAATTTCTTTGAATCTTTTTCTGAACAAAAACAGTATTTTAAAGGTACTTTCATTAGAATTTAATATGTGTAACATTTTAAATAGTAATTTGCTTTTCTAAAAATTGATAAAATGCTAGAGCGCTGACTCAATCTGAAAATCCAAGTTAATATCTAACAAACAATAAATTATGTTCATGAATACCTTCAAGGTTGTAATGTTCTACCTCCTCTTCCGGTATAATGACTGTTTCCCACTGTTGTGCCTTATATAAAAAATACGCATTTTTGAGATTAAAGTTTCTACTATATTACAGTTAACTGTGATCACAAAACTATTCAATGAAGACAAATTTTCAACTTTTAAATATGTGCTAAAAGCGACAAGAAAGATACCATTTGTAACAGAGAATAAAATTAAAAGAGAATAAAAGTAAAAACAGAATAAAATTTAAAAATAATTTTAATTTTTAATTAATTTTTTAAATTTTTAATTTAAAAAAAATTAAAATTAAAACAGAATAAAAGTAAAACAGAATAAAAATACTTCTGTTAGAAATATTCATCTGAACAACTGAGTCTCTCTTATTGGTATTGCAACTTCATAAATGCCTTTTTGTTCACATACAGAATTACATACGGAATTATTCATAAAAATARTATTTTCAGAGCTATTACTTTGAAATAGTGTAATCTAAACATTAAAAAAATAGTAACAACGTAACAGCAATCAGAGTTCCAAAACAGAGCTTCCACAATTCACGTGGGGAAACAAATTTCATATATTTGGAGGGAAAAAAAATAAACACAATTCACTGCCTTCAGGTATGATGGACAGAATTAGCTTACAGCATCATCTGCTGCCACATAGAAAGATATGCTTCTACTACCAATGTTAAAATCAATCCAAAATTCTTCAAGATTCTCATCCAAAGGTATTCGTAGCTAAAACACACACACAAAAAAAAAGTAAGACATAAGAACAAAAATTCGTAAGAGCTAACATGCATTTAAGTCTTTGTATTACAATCTCAACAAACTTTAAATACATAGATATAGAAATCGGATATGTGATTAGGTCTGTAACTTACCTCATATTTATCAAGACTTGCTGATAAACATGGATATGTAAAAACCCTGTAAGGAAAGGATATTTTGTCAAACGTTGTAAAATGTTATAAATAGATTTTGTCCTCCTGAACAGAGCAACTGGATTGTACTTCCAATATCGAACTTGTATACTTTAGAGACCAGGAAGTGACGGCAGTTCAAAGGACTGTCACATAATTGCATTTCTTCCTCCACAAGAGAAGACATGATTATATCTTTACAGTTCGAGTAGAAGCATAGGTCTCAAATCTCACTGTTATGTTCAGAGATCTAATCACCTGCTAGTGTATTAATAATAATCTTATAGTAGGTATCCAAACTGATTATATCCTTCATATAAATAGCTATCAAACAATCCCTTTGCTGTCATGACACATAATGATTTAAATAACATGCAGAGCACATGATCAGATAGCCTCAAAGAAAGSTCTTAGCAGTTATTTTCACTAATATTTTCATTGATCATTACCTCAACTTAGGTATCCTATGTCAATGATGATCCTATGATCAACAGCTTATTATATATTTTTAGATGATACTTGTCTATTGGAATTAATGAACATCTCAGAATTTTGCAGCAGAAGTGCAAAGGCAAAGAAGGCAAATAAATAAAATAAGAATTTCTACTTTACCTTCTGTTGTCCCCCAGCATGCCATTCACCTGGTTAAGGAATTTTCTGCAGTCCTGTTAAAACAGAGAAATTTCCTCTAGAATTGTAACATTAAAGCTTATTTCCTTGGAAAGAGATTGCCTATGACTTACTGTTTCAAACTCAGAATCTTTAATTCCTTTGAATGCTTTGGACACAAACTCCATGGAAAACCACTGACATGCTAACTCTGCTCTTTGTTTTTCTGATGTCATTCTGCATAGAGCTTCCGTAATGGCTACTTGCAGGTCATAGTCTGCAGGTTACAAAACATTTTACAGAAACAGAGCTTCAGAGATGCCTATAGCATAAATTATTTTACAGCAATAGTGTTTTCAGAGATGTTACTGATTTGAAAAAGTATGTAAGATGAAGTGGTACTAGTAGCACCACATTTTTCATACTACATATCATATACCCATATATGTTACCCATAGTGGATAAAGATATAATGGAATAAGGATGACTAGCCAAATTATTTTTCAGAAGCAAATTTCAACCTAGCTATCAAGGAATGTTAGAGTAACTCTATGTATACACACAATTAAGAYGTTTCCAACTTTCTAATCCCTGAACGGCTGGATTAGAGATTGTTGGATACCACAGTGGCCCCTTGTAGAAATTAGTATTACTAAACCAGGCAGCAATTTGCTCTCCTCAAAGACTGACTTCCTTCTCATCTTTTGCTGTTTGAGAACTTCTGTGCCAGAAAAGAGGAGAAAAACTCAAACCTAAATGTACGTTATGTACATCTTAAATGTGTGGCAATTTAAATGGCAAATTATTTTCATATAATATTAGCATTTTCAAATCTCCAACTTCAAGTGTCTTTTTAGACTTTTTAAGTAGGCGACAGAAGGTCAATAATACATTGTTTATTAAGTCCGCTGCTCACCTCCAGCATCTAAAATTCTTCTCCCCATATCGCTCCTGCAAAATAAAGAACACTTGATTAAAATATGACAGTAACACACAACATACAGGAAAAGTTTAAGTACAAGCTTTCAATGTACGGAACAATCTCCTAATTCCACTATAATACTAAACTTTAAAGGGATAGGTTTCTTATCTGCTAAGCAGCAGGACTACTTCTGTTTTAGGATACAACCAAAGAATTAGAACAATAATCGTAGCAAGAAATACATGGATCATTTTGGTCATGCAGTTCAAAATAACCCCGTCTACTTCCTCTTCACAAATAGCACTGTCCAATAATTCATACAATGTGAATTATGAAGAAAAGGGAGATCATCTTTTCTGTTCCTTTCTTTTACCAACATTAAGTGCTGAGACCCCAGTTCTGTGTTTACTAAACCGGTCAGTGATAAAAAAACCCACCTTAGACTTAAGAAACATAAACAAACAAACAAACAAACAAACTCTCCACAAAAATCAAAAGGAAATCTGTATCTGACATTGAAGAGGGGCATAAAAACTAGGTTCGTGGAAAGTCTTCTGCATTCAACTCATCCAAAAGTAACTGTAATAACCTGATAACAATGAAAGTAATAACTTTCATTGAGACGACTCCTGTTCCAAACACTGTGCTGCTTGCCTCCTTTTCACCTCCCCACATAACATACATCTGAAAGCACCTTTGGGAAGTAAATCACCTGATACATATAAATATAAATAAATGCTCTCAAAACTCCTTCCAGTAAATGATTCACTGTATTTTACCAGAAGTTCTTATTAGAAGTTTAATGTTAAGACAATTTGGTTCAGAACTTAGAATAAAGAGAGGCAATTTAGGTTTGTAAGGGAGAATAACCTCTTCATTATAACAACTGCTGAGAAGCACCACCACATGCTACCTAGCTGCAAATGCAAAAATCTCTTGAGCAGCAACCCTTCTGCAATCATAATTATCCTCGGTAAAAACTGTCTTCCCAGCAATATAAACCACAATAAAACAGTAAACATAAAAATTAAACTGAAAATTACTTACATTACAAKCAACATTTCTTTTGCAGAAAGCATCTTTTTCCTGGCATCTCGAGGCATGTTGTCCAGCATTAAATTTAGTTTTCTTACTACCTAAGAAATATGAAAAGAAAAAGGTTAAATATAAATCATTACAGATTAAGTTATTCTCTAACTATATTTTGGGTCCATGTTGCACATTTGATAAATATTAATAAAGCTACATATTTCAATAACTTTGCAGTTTCTTCATTAAAAGCTTGCCTGAAAGACTTGAAAATATGATGTTGCTAAAGCAAATAGGAGAAATTTATAATATACTAGAGGATTTTTTAAGGAATTTATACTAACAGTCTTAAATTGTAATAGAGCATATTATTTCCAATGCTTTTATTTAGCTGTCTCTCTGGAATCTTAGTAGCACCTTACATAATTTATTATCCAAAACAATAAATCAAGTCAGTAAGCTGAAGGCAGTTAAGAATATACAAATGTCAGCAAAAACATTCCTCCTACATACTAAAGCATCAGAATATTCTTTCTGTGGCAACAGTACATTTTAAAATATTAACTAGCTTTACAAGGTCTGCCAGAAGACTAACCAAAAACTACTGCTTAGAAAAGGGAATACTTACCTCCTGCTGAACATAAATAYTAATTCTTTCATCAACAATGAGTGTACACGCTCTCAGTACAAAGTTGTCTAGTATCTGCATTTTACCTTATGAAAAGTGGGAARGAATTTTAAAAAATCATCAAAAAAGCATGAAAAGTAGTTCTTCAACGACATTTGTAAACAGATCACTTTCATTTAGAAATATAGTATGCTTTCCATACACAATTACTGATATTTAAAAACAAAGATTTTAAACTTCTTAACTCATATGTAAAACAGAATGGTTACTGCAATTCATAGTAAATGTTGATCTTTAAAATGCTTCTACCCCTAGGCATCATATTCTGAAAGCATCCGTCCCCTGTGACCCCCTTTAAAAYACATTCAAATCAAAGCCGTAACTCAGCTCTCTGAAATATAATTCAGACTTTGGAACTGTACATTTCCAAGAACAAGGAAATCAATTTTGATTGTGATAGCACAATGGCGTGCCGTGACTCTCTACCGCTAGCACTACACTGAAGAGTAACAAGTGCATGATCTCACAATAAGGACAAAAAACAAATAAACCAACCTGCCACAACCTCAGTTTAATTGTTGTTACTGAGGATACTGAATTTATACATACACACACACACACACACACTTCACTATAAGCAAGTTACTTTTAAAGATCTGTCAGTACAAAAACTACAGCTCAGACTGAAGCTTGTTTCATGCGAACCAGAAATAGCTTAGCCCTTCAGCTTGTGTACAGAATAAGTCTTCGTAATAGGCCCTTTTCTATCTTTATCTATTAACTGAAGCACATAGAGGTAGTGTACTTAACAAGAAACTCTTACCACCCTCTGTTACATGTGCCAGAATACTCCTTCTACATAACAGGAGAATTTCCACCACAAATCTGGTAGATGGGAATTTTCAGAATATATCAATCCACTAGACTTTCATTTCTTTTCATGCCAGTTTATTTGATAGTAATTGGAATAATTTAAGCAACATTTTAATACCTTATTTAGTGCATACATTTTAAACTCACCTTCAGGACTGGTATCATATATAACCTAAAATTTAAAAAAAAAAGTAAATATTAAAGACACTTATTAGGTAACTTGCATCTAAAACAGGTCTAACCAAAAAGTATTTGCTACAGTTGTGTTACTGTATAGGTTAATACAGGTTAAGGATGACAAAGTTAGAGCTTAGTTAAGTAAGTAAAAGAGCTCTCTTCTAATACCAAGCATGGTTTCCTGAAATTGTATTTCAGTTAAACTTGCAGAATTTGTTTTCCCAATAAGAACATTTATGCACAGACTTGCTTAGGAACACAGTAAATCTTGTGGATGTTTTAAACTTCAGACAAACATTGCAGGATTAAGATATAGTATACACAATAAAATTTAGACTGAGATTGTTATTTTTATTAAGCACCTTTAGTATATGTTCAGTATGAATGCAAATAACAATGAGTACAAATTAAGGCAAACTTTTCAGCCGGAAAGACTTGTAATGTATTTCAGAACTTAGTGTAACATTAACTTAAAAATTAGAATAAAAAAAAATTTGAAAATCTTTTTGCTGCTAAACTATTAATAATTTTCACAAATATATGCTTAATGTATTTTATTATGAGCATATTTTACCAGTAAAATGTCGAAGAAATCTTCTGCTAAACTTGTAAGCAATTCACTTTTTTCATTTCCTCTAAGGATCAAAATTGCTTTTACCTTTTCAAACCATTTGACCATGTAAAGGGAAAATAAAGCAAATCAATCTTAACAGCAAGAAAACAGGATAATTGCTTGTATTATACTTAATTAAACTTACATAAAGCACACCAAGAATAGAAAGGCACGTTTAGCAGTCTCTGATTTTACTTGAGCCCGAGAYTGAAATTTTGCACATTGACTAAGCAATTATGGGTCATCTTAATCTAACATCACTCACTTCCACAACTGATTTCTGACACAAAAACTGAAAACCACTTTAGCAACTAYTGTAACAGACAAGAGTTGAACATAGATGATGTCTGAATGCAATTATGAAGACATCACAACTTTTTTTTTTTATTTCTTCCATTTTTTAATAAAAGCACTTGAGAAGGCAATTCAGTAATCATCACCTCTGGACACTGCCATTAACTTAATTCAGTGAAATCTTCAGTAAAGGCAATAAGGAAGTCACCTATACTTTTCAGTATATTTATTACACTAAGYAGCAAATGATTAATGCATTTTATATAAATGCTGAAATAATACAAAATAATCAGAATAGTAATATAATCTTTGAAAGAAAATGTACTTGTTGCCAGTACATTAACTCAAAATTCATTAAACTRTACCAGAAAGTTCCAAATCTTGACAAGAAGTGCAGCATGCGCATATAGAGACAACCACTTGCTGTATCTGCTATAAGCAAATTTAAATTAATTACAAACTGCATAACCCATGAAATCTCCACTGTATTACAGAAGCACCACTTCATAATGAGTTGCTCCTTTGCCAAAAGATATTTAGATCTGATTACCGTYTTCTGAAAAACTGGAAAAAAAATCTTAATTCAGACATAAAATTGAAGACAAAATTGAATACTATGATATTGAGCCTTGAAACATTATTTAGGTATGACTCATTAACTTTAAAAAAGTTACATATGCTTTATGTTATACTTATCCTTTCAACAAGACCATATTTCATCATTGCTGAGAGACCATCTTCGCCTGCYATGCTGATTTTTTCCCCACATTTCTGAAAAGAGCTTAGTAAAGTTGAAATGTTTTTGACTTCTTGCTTGTCAAGCTCCTAAAATGGAAATTAGAATATCAGCTTTAATGTGCAGTTCTAGAAGAAGCTATACTTAACTAGGTGCCTTTTGGTTGTCAAAAGTCATCTTAACTACTCCATGAAACAGTGGTTATATTCTTAAATTTTATTTGCTTTTTAAATGAACTGCTAGCATAAATAAACCAAATCAATATTTATTAGCTATTACAATAACAGCATAAATCTCAACATGCAATGATTACATTACCCGACAAAGAAGCTTGTCTAATTTGTTGAGAAACTGTTTGCTGCATTTATGAGAAAGATTCTCACAGTCCTTTGTTTGAAGGAAGTGCTCTAATAACTGGAAATCTTTTTTCCTTGTAGCTTCATCGATAAGTTTTTCCAACTATCAGAGTAAGAGAAAATGGAGCAACTGTATTTGTGTACACTCAATTTGTGATGTAAGTTTTTATGTAGTTATCGGCTGGACTCTCAAGTGAACATATCAAACCACAAAATCATTAAATATAAGAACTGAAGTACCGAGCACCTTATCCAATATCTTAATTATACAAACACTTATTCACTTATTTGTAAACARGTTATTTATACTTGATATTTGGTATCTTTCTCTAATTAGAATTTTTCTTTCCTTTTATTACCGATAGGTGCTTACTCATYGTTTTAACACCACTCCTTCACTACCTTTAATATTTTGAATTTTCAAGTTATCTACTCTTTTCAATGCATTGTCATATTGCAATTTTTACTTCTAATTAAATGCTAGAAGCTAATAGTAATAAAAATATCCAACATTCATTTTAYTTATCCTAAAAGTACATACCTTCTTCTCATTCCTTGCTGCCATTTTGGCAATTCATCTATTCAGCTGCCTAAGAGAAGAAAAACAAAACAAAACCAAAACCACTTGACTAAAAATAAAGTCATTAACACAGATTTCAGACAAATTTGAAATCAGTTTCAGAAACACATCAAAACAGATCAAGCAAAATTTACTAAAAATTCCAGAATTTGTCAGGAGTACAAATATTATTTATATAAGGAATTAACCTATGTTGAAAGAAATGTCCTTATATGCAATTGGTTAAAATGAGAAAAGGCAAGATGAGTGATTAGCTTGGACAGTGGTGACAAAGGTTCTGCAGTGAGTTTTCATTACAGAGATACAGATGCAGGAAAGGGGCAAGTAGCAGGACTGCAAAGCMAAGTGTCAACATGAGGCTATTCAGAAAAGATAACAGCCAAAGGTAAGAGAACTGCATGAGGACCATGTTATAAAATGGCAGATGGGTTAACTACAGACAATGTGGTGAAGCCCATGGGGAATAAAGTCATCCTAACTATCTACAGCAGTGGCCCAAAATAACTCTTACGAGTAAAGAGCATGATTTTGGGATTACAGTTTCTAGTTCAATGATCAGAAGTTGCTAAAAGTATTTTGTCTCCATAACTAACAATGCAAGAACATTTTCATGCTGTGTATAAAGTCATCTACATATTCAGTATCTCATGCAGTTCCAGACTGCCCACCACATAAATTCTATAGTGGAAACACGCAGAAAACTGAATCAAATATTTAAACACACAGAGGAGCTGTGTGTTTACACACAGTTTACACACAGTTTACATACAACTGACGATGGGCCACAGAATAGATGCTGCCATGATAAAGACAAAATCTTGAAATATGGTGTTTTTTAAACTTTCAAATACAAAAATGCAACCACTTCACTGAAGCCTTTTCTATCACCTCACAAATTTCTCACCCCCTCCTTAGTCAGGGAAAGCGGTAGAACAAGAAAAAAAACTTTTGAGATGCTTCAGGGCACACAGGTATTGACATCTTCCCCAAAGCCTGGCTAGCACAAGGAAAGCTCCCCACCACACCTCCCCAGCAAGCTGGCGCCCTAACGGGGAGTTAAAGCCGCGAATGGCCCCGCACGAACATGGCGCCCACCTCAGCCCACCTCACCGCRGCACACGGTACGCGGCCCTCCCTGCCCCGCCCGAGCGAAAGAGGCGCCAATTCCCAWCAGCCAATCACATCCAGGCACGGTGTCCCACTCAGCCAATCAACGCCCTAGAACGCTTTCCGGGGGTGGGAGGGGGGGGAAGAAATCATCGTGCAGCCGCGGCTCCTCTTCCCTCCTCTCCCTCGTGCCGTCGCTCCCAGCCAATTAGCTGCCCGGGGCGGGGAGGCGGGTCCCGCCCCGCTGCTACTGCCGCTGCCCCAGCGGCAGCTCTGTCCGCGCAGCGGGAGCGCGAGGCCGCCTCAGCCCTCGGGGCAGCGGCTACGTGACGGGAACAACACCGGCCAAGGAGAGCGGCCCGTCCAAGGCCCGAAATATCCTCCCCGGGGCTTTATTAATGCCCTAGATACTCTTCTGCCCGCGTCACTGAGCTGCTGTGCAGATAGTCTGTGTAGAGCCATGAATGTTCTGAGGAAGTATAAAATTAATTTTCCATTATGACATGTCCTTACCAAGAACCAGTATTTAAAATGCACTCATGCTATTGATTAGCATAGAGTTCCTGAGTGTGCACTTCATAAACTACAGTGCTTCAAAACTGTGTGGCAAAAACATTGTCACTACTGTCAAGTGCAAGGTTCTTAAAACCACAAAACTTCCTATCGTGAGCCTGTCTTGACTTTCAAAGTTTTTATGATGACCTGGAACTGGCTAACATGTTTATATTAAATGCAACAGTTGGACTAAAACTACCCCTGTTGTTAAACAAACAAAAAATATTTTTCTAAACAGATAAGGAAAATGCCATAAACAAAAAAGAAGCTGTACAGCAATTGTTTACAATACCACCAGATGTCACTATAATTCAATACAATCCATGTAAATAACAATTGCTAAGAGAAATAAAATATCCACAAARGAGCTGACTCCCTAGGATAGAACATTTTGCTGGAAGCATGTTCACCTAACAGTATTAACTGGAGCATTAACTGCTATCACATTTTTTGTTGGCATGACTTCATTAAAAGATGCAGGACTGATTTGAAATACCGTTTTATTGACAAAAGGGACAATATTTTGGGCATGAGAAACTTGAAGTCTCCGAACGTCCCTATGAAAGTGTACTCAGCTCCCTTTTCACCAGACATAAACAAAAGCTGCTTTAACGAGCTCCTTATGAGTCACTGTACACATGCTCAGACTGTCCACACATTCGTAACTTCTCAAGAAAACAGCCTTTCTTGTTCCGTAACAGAAGTCAGCCATAAAGAAGGGAGGAGACCTTCATCATTCACTTCCCTCTTGCATGATAATACATGCTGTTATAGTTATGTCTGACCTGACTGAAAGCTACTCTGCATTAGTGTCTATTTCTTTAACATTTGTTTTGTATAACAGAGAGAGAGAGAGAGAGAGAGAGAGAGAGAGAGAGAGAAACCATCAGTCCTCTACACTCAGAGCTGCAAAGACTTGCACAAAACACTGGGAAATGCTTTTCAATTCCCCTATCCAAACATTCATATTGGAGATGCATTTTTTTTCCTGAGACTATTTATGAAAAGCATTTAAAAAACATGAAGAATGCCAAGGAAAAAAAAAAAGGAAGCGACATTGCACTTAAGACTATGTACAGTCTTCTGTACACTTCTACACTACTGTGGCAAGAATATTTAATTAAAGGTACTGAAAAATACAGAAGTCAGCATAACCAATCTTTGGCACAGCTGGTGTTGTATGTAGAAGTAAGAAGGGTCAAAGCTTTTATGACAAACAGTTTTAATATCAAGTATCAGCAGAAATAGTTGCAGGTCTGAGATCACAAGCAGAAGGCCAAATCGGGAAAGAAGCTAGTTCTAACATTAGACTCTGACAAATGACTAATCACTTAGACTTGCCATTCGGCATCTTCAACAGGCAATGCTGGAAGATACTTGCAAGTGCTAAGCACTAGCAAAACTGCAACTGTAGTTGCAGTTAAGTATTAGCACACTACTACAAGATAAAGGATAAAGCAGAATTAACATTTTAGAATTAGTACAAGTTAGAGCCAGTTACTGCAGATATAAACAGTCTCTTMACATGCTCTACATGGATGTATTTTAATGAAACCTGTGTGCAACCCAAAATGAAAGGAGGTCTGAAATGAGACAAAAGCTGCATCAAACAAAAAGAACAAAATAAGGAAAGAGCAGCACATTTGAACTGTTAGGAGTAGAAATTAGAGAATTAAAAGGAATCTGTAGCACAGTTTTGGGAGGTGTTACTAGAAGAGAGACCTTTTTTTCCTTACAATCATTTTATAATCAACTTGCAGAATGTCTTTCTCCACCACTTCATTTTAGATATATAGCTGCTATATGCACAGAAATGACAGCAAATTCCATATAAGCAGTAGTAGCATAGTCATTTTTGCAATTATACAGACTAATCACTCTATTTTTAAGTGCTGCTCTTATTTATATATTAGCAATTACTGAATCCACCCACCTTATTTTCTAACCTGCATATGTTATTCATTAAGCAATAAATCAGCACCAAGTTGCCTGATGAGGGTACTGTCTAAAAAAAAGTAGCACAAAGCAAAACAAAAACAGTGCAACACTTTTTGGGCAATCTCTTGTATTAAAATAGCAGTAAATTTATTATTTTAAATGAATTAAGCACTTTGCAATTTTACAACTCTCCACAAAAACAAAATGACCTTTTGTCTAGAATATGTGCTTTACTGACATATTGCATAATGTATTTTATTCTGGACAAGACATTTAATCAGAAAACTCCTTCTCATTTACATAGATTCCACTTTTTTTTTTCCAAAAAAAAAAAAAAAAAAAAGCTTGAAAGACCCCTGAAAATGTGTACTACTACGTATCTGTTTATTGCATGACTATAACAAATACCTTTTTTTTTTAAAGTGCATTATATGACAGTAACCTCTGTGAAGAGTCCTATGTATAAGGAAAGTGCCCAGTTTGAACACAGTGCAAGAAGTCAAGTTGCCCTGAGAATTTAAAATGGTGGTCATACGTTTACCAGCATGGTAGGTACCTACTACTTAATGGCTTACTATTTTTTTTTTAATCAGAATCCTTTTGATTTTCACTGTTGAGTGTGAGRGGGAAAACAATGAGTGCAACTTTTGTCTTCATTGTCACAGGAGTCAGTTCTAATGTGGGAATATTAACAATTTAGGAGCACCTTAAAGGCTTTTTACTTATCTGAATTAATCTAGCAATTGCTCTCAGTTCTATGATAGTCGGGCCTGCTTAACTCAGAGTCAACAATGCGAACAACTGATTTAGTAACAGCTACTTTCAGTTCTTCACCAGAAGTGCAAGACAAGCAAAGAGATAAAAGGCAATAAGTTAATACTCAAGATTTTGCATGTGCAAATACTCTGAGAGGTTGCAGAAGGAAGACAATACAAACCAAGCTAATATCACTGAGCTGTTCAGTTCTGCCCTTTTCCCATATCAGTGAGATAAACATTGCCATGTCAGWGAGATTAACCTAGCACATGAATGATTCTCTCCCAGATGGCCACAGAGTATTTCTACCAATAACTCAAGTATTGTGTTGTGTTCCAGCAACATCCATGGTAAACGTGCTCAATACTTGTCTCAGAAAAAGATTTTTAATGGTGTGCTGGCAGGCAGCTGAGTGTTCTAGCAGATGGAAGAAACAGAGTCACTGGAGAAGAAGGGGAASAACACTTTAAAACTGCCCGTTTTTTCCACTGCAAGTGCTTCAATGTGTGCTCCCAGATTGGTTATGGCCACTCCTGTGATCCAGATGCAAAAAAACAATGCAGGTAGACCAAAAGCCTGTCGCAGTCCTTCCATCTGGGTAGCAGGCAGTCTCACTTCATCCCAATGACCTAGGAGTGCTCTACATGCCTTAGACCTAATGGTTGCAAAATGCCCTGACAGTAGATGTGTTTTTCATCCCAAACCATTCTAGCCTAAACTTACAGCCTAAGAGTGCTCCAATACAAAACTACAATATTAGCGGCATTCACTGTCTCTTAAATGGACTATTCACTAACAAAGAAATGATCATTTTTACCATTCCCTAGTAGTAGATAACCACTGACACACATGTAACTGAACACTACATACATAAGCAGAAATACCTATTAGTTAACTAACGGTAGGTTTCTAAGTCCAATAATCAGAACGTGACTTTCAGAGGCAGAAAGTACAACTCAAACTGAATTCAAGTACTGATAAATGCCCAGTAAAGCTGAAAAATAGGACATTCAAAAACATCTTGCATTTCTGCCACTATACTGAATAGCAGGTAAATTATGTAGTCCAGCTCTGTGTTTTTTGGRTGCTTCACATAGTTTAGAAATCAAAAAAGCAGCCACTCCAGCAACTGCAATAACAATTGCTAACAGAAATGACCATTCAAATTAGAGTATGAAAAATACAAATTTCAAAAATGTTATCAAAAGTTTTTTTAAGAATCTCTCTCTCACCTACTGAGATGACATGCAAACAAACACCACAATTACTCAATGGACTAACTTCTAATATATGGATGTACTTCTAATAAAAGAACTTTGTTTTGAAATTCATTTCAGAGCTGACTACATTGAACAGCATGTATGAAGCAAACTAGGTATGTTGCAATTCAAAAAGTAAAGAACATAACCTCAAACAGAAGTCCAAATTAATTTGCAGACAGTTAGTTCTAACCTGCAGCATGACAACACAGCCAACTCTTAATTGTTTCAAACTGGACTGAGTTTCCTCAGCACTTTCAGACTCAGCAAGCTCTGACTCCAGGCTCTGAAAAACAGATTAGTGCAACTAGATCGCTTGAAATTGTTGTTAAATGGCTATCGCAGCTAAGTAACAACATGAAGTTATCAAACATACGACGCTTCTTACAGTTTCTGCAGTTCCAAAAATGACTCAGTGGACTTTATGGACTAATATATACTTGCCTGTATGTTGCTTGAGATCTTGATAAGATGTCTGAATATGTGGTATGATATTTACAGTATATTCTTTCAGAAAAGCATCTAATACAATAACACAGCCAACCAGTTTTGAAAATTCATGCTATACTTATAAAACTAAACTTTGCATGTGCAGAAAATCRTGCAATAAAACATTCATAGATTTTTTTTTCCTTCTTGATTTCTTCAGCAGGAACACTGCATAGCCATAAGCTTTGTACTGGACAGACTGTGGTGTGTTACTGTACTCCCAAGGCTGCAAAACTCTTTGCATCCCTGTAAGCACCAATTTACAAGTAAAATCATTATTTTCCTTTGAAGATCCCACTTCGAGTCCATAGGAGACTCTTGGATTTGAAATAGTTTTTAATCACTTAATCTCTAACTGATTAGAGGACTTGAAAGTGCTATTGCAGTAATACTGGGACAGTAGGGAGCAGAGCTTCAGGGATCTAGCAGTGTGTTTGAAGGCTCTCTGATAAGCTCACTGCTCCCTGTATTTCATATCCTATCTTTCTTGTCTTGATTTACAAATTTGAAGTTTCCAGTATGGGTGTAAGATGACTAGCATTCATGTAGTGCTTTGAGATCTTCAAGCACAGCTGCAACACAAGTGCAAAATTGCTCTAGTTTCCCTTTATAAAAAACAGTTGCACAAGGAAAGGACAAACCCATTTCCCCAGAGAAACACCTCCTATTCATAGGATAAGCCAATCTTATAAATGCTTAAATAACTCTTGCTGCCTATAGCAAACATTGCAGAGGAGAAAAGGCACATGGTTAAAGAAATTGTTTCTAAAGGGAAACAGAGGAGCAGCTGGGAGATTTTCATGTTGTTTTAGATCATATTAATTGGTTTACTGAAGAAATATAATTAATAGAAACATTTAACATGGCTAAAATATTTAAAAATACTTGTTTAAATACAAATACTTCCCTACAGTGGCTGCCATCCGAAGTTTGCTAAACTGGAATAGTGCCTGGGCTTAGTTAAATAATATAAACAAAAATAGAAATAAAAACAGTAAAGCCATACTCTCCATTTAAAAAAAAAAAAAAAAAAAAAAAAAGACAGCAGAAAATAGTAAAATAGATTGGTTACAAATACTTTATGCAGTCCAGAATACTAATAGCAACATAAAAGTCTCTTTCTTTGCTTTTGGATATGTAGTCTGACAGTTTCCCTTTGAACCATTCTGCACCAATTCACACACTACAAGAAATCCCATGGGCTTTCAACGGATGCTGCTCGGAACACGTTTTGGCCCTTTACACTTTCCAAAGGATTTGGAACAGTTGGTGCATACCCGCGGCTACTTTCCTGTTCTGAAACACTTGGCCAGTTTTGGCAGGTTTCGAAAAGGAGCTTGGAGGCTGTGGGGGCACAAAGCAGTGTGAGGGATGAGAACAGGCTATTCAGAAGCTGCTCTTCATTCCATTCCTTTTGCTTAGATGAAGTGGATCCAGCTCTCCTCACATTCTCTGGGCATTTTAAGGGGATAATTTCGGCAGGTAAAACTGTAGTTTTTGCCTCCGTTATTATCCCAATATTCCTGCCCATTGACTTGGTATCTTGCTGCAAATTGGACTACYGAGCACAGCTGAAGCAGGAAAGAAGGTACAGGGAGAAAAAAGGTGAAAACATCCACCTGAGCCTGCCCGTTTTTCTCAGGGATGCTACTATGCCAGTGAGCACGCGCTTCATGGAGGCTTTTCCACTGATTGAAGGTGTATCGCACTGATACCTGCTTCTCAAAAGCAATATTACAAACTTGAATGGTGCCACTGAGTCCAAAATCTGAACTGGTCACTCGTTCGAGGCACACCTGCTGCTCCCGAAGACGGGCAGAGAAGTCCATGCAGTCTGCAGGCTGCTGGAAGTCAGGCACCAAGTACTGCATGGTGAACTCCAGGTCCAAGCAGCTGCCCCAGAGGTCTGAGTTTATGGAGAGCCTGGAGAGGACATGCAAGGGGATGGACGGGTCCTCTCCGGTCTGGAAGACTTTCACTTCGGTCAGCTCCAAGCCCAAAGCATCGGCAAACCTCACCCGGTTCGCGCGGCCCTCGCATGCCGCGACTCGGCACTGCGCTCCCGCTCGCTTCCTTCTTTCGGGTGACGTGGGCAAAGACCTCGCCCGGCGGCGTATGATGGGCCGCAGGGCCGGGTCGCAGCTGTTGGCGGTGCCGCTCCGGAGCCGCTCCGGCTGCGAGCCCCCCTTGACCGGGACGCTGCTCAGGAGGGTCACGCTGCTGCTGGCGCGAACCGCCGGCGGCGGCTGCTGCTGCTGCCCCCGGCCCGGCGCTGCCTCGGCCCGCAGCATGTTCTGGTAGAGATCGGAGAGGTAGCTGGGACTCCTCCGAGGGGCACGTACCTCCATTCCGCGGCGAGGGCCAAGCCCTGGCGCTGCCACCGCCGGAGCGGCCGAGGCGGGAGCGCGGGCCGGGGCGCGCCGGGCGCTGCGACTCGGGCTGCCGTGAGGGGCAGCGGGGCCTCCCGCGAGGGGCGGCAGGAACCCGGCAGCGGCTGGCGGCGCCCCGGGGGCTCCGGCATCGAGCGGCGCCGCGGGGGCCGCCTCACTGGCCGCTGAACTCGCGGCTGCTCAGGCTGGACAGGGAATCGAGGCTGTCGCTCGTGCAGCCGGGCGAGCCGAGGCTCTCCCGCGGGCTGGGCACCGACTGGAGGCTGTCGGGGGGGGAGCTCAGGCTGCGGCGGCGGCGACGGCGGCCGGCAGCGCGGGGCTGCAGGCTGTCCTCGCAGGCGCTGCCGGAGCCCGCGCTGCCGCAGCGGCTGCACGGGCACTCGAGGCTGTCGCACGGGGCGCCGGGCGAGGCGGCGCCGGGCGAGGCGGGGAGGCTGTCGGGCGGCACGGAGGAGCCGGCGCCGAGGCTGCTGCCACCGGGGCTGGAGGGCGTGCGGAGGCTGTCGGGCGGGGCGGCCGAGGCCGAGTCGGGGCTGCGCGGGGCGGGGGCCGGCGCCGCGGCCGGGCTCTCCGCTGCCCACATCGATGGGCGGGCAGGGAGGGCGCGACCGCCCCGGCCCGGCCCCACTCCGGCCCCGCCAGCACCGGCCCCGCGCCGGCCGGCAGCGCATGCGCCACCCGCTGCCCGGTAACCACTGAGCGAGCCGCGCCGCGCGTGCGCACTAGCCGGCGTGGCGCCGCCGCCGTCGCGCTGCCCTTAGCTGTCGGCGGAGGCAGGTAGCGGGCAGCGGGGYGCGGGGACAAAAAAGGGAGAAAATTCCTGGATCAGCGGGTCTAAGCCCGCCGGAGTCAGTTGGAGAGCCGCGCTGCCGGGCACGCAGCGGCGGGGGTGCGGGAGCGGGCACTGAGCGCGCGGGGGGGGGAGGTGGCAGCAGCAGCCGCGGGGGATGAGGAATTCTGCGTGGTCGTCAAGTATTTTTATGTCAGCTTAAGGGTACTGGAGATTTGTTTTGGAAGAAGATGGAAAATAGAGCGTTCCACATAAAACYTGCATGTAGGGCTGCCCTTGGAGCGCTTTTCCTGACACAAACAGGACAACCCAGAACGGCAGGGGCCGATCAGCTGCTCGCTTTAAATTAAGAGCAGAGACACCCACCAGCCAAGCGGCTGCGACACTGGGCTCTGGCCAATGCACACGCAAGGAAAACGGGTTGCGGAGCACCCAGGAAGTGCAAAGCGGCTCTTCCCATGCGGCTGCGCCTTCAAATGTTATTATCCCTTCATTTCCAGTATCTTCCCCAAGCATCTCTTCAGGGCCGGCCTGGAGGAGGCGGCTGGTACCGAGTGCGCAGCTGGGGCTGCCTGAGAGCGGCAGCGCCGCCCGAGGCCGCGTTGATGGACAGACAGAGTGACCCCGGCGCCRGGGCTGCAGCTCCGCATGGCCCAGCCGCAGTAAGACCAGGCGCCCTTGTTGTCAAAGGAGCGCGCGCTGGCGGGTGGGCAGGGGTCTGCAGCACCTTGGGGGCTGATTATGTTACTGCCTTGTTGTTTGTTTGTTTTTTAACTATCAGAATCACATTGGGAGGAGTTGCATGGTGTTTGTTTGTTGCATCTCTAGGACGTAGTGATGTTTGCATTTGATACGCTGTGTCTCATGAACCCAAAACACTGGAGTCCTTTGAAGATTATGTAAAAATACAGGTACAGATACTCTTCAGAGAGTAATAATGGGACCAGGCATTCAAGAATATCCCTTATTACTGCACAGAGGCACACAGAAAAAGGGAAGCCAAATCAATGAAACCCACAAAGGAATGGTAAAGTAAGGAAATTATTTTCTCTCTTTATAGTTAGAGGTATCTCTAAGTACTGTAAATTAGTTGGTAAATGCATGACTGTGTACTGTTCAGATTGCCCTCGTCTCTGATCCGCAGCAAGACAAGTGGCAGCAACAGAGACAACTGCATCAGTGCTGGCAGCACAGGACTGGTTTTCATTATTTTCCAAGATATTAAACTGATGACATATATATGTATATATAAAAACAAAATCACACTACACTCACACAAGATCTATAAAGAATAAATTCTGCCTGGCAAAATGAACTGCACTGAACTCAATCTATAGTAGCCTGGGACRGTAAAGTTTTTTTACTCCTGCTGTAAAATGCTGCTTTAAAACTTTCATTTTTGAAATKAGTAATTATTTCTTATTGTAGAACAAACACCATTGTTTTGATTCATACAGAATAAGCTGTTTTAGTGATTCTGTGTGGGTTTGTGTTGTTGCATGCTTGCTCTTGTGCTTACAGAAAAAAGTATCTGTTTTGTTTGAGGAAAGGAAATACTGTGTAACTTAGTTTTAAACTGTCCAGATCAGTAATGTCATTGCTTTCAGCTGCGTTTGAAGTTTTTTCTACCAATATTTTGCCCAATCCCACAACAAACAATAGTGAAATAGCACACAATATTTTGTGTTATCTATTCTATTTATGTCTATTGTCTGGTTATCTATTGTGATTATTCAGTATGGTATAGTATGAAAATAAAAAGTGACCACAGAGTAGTTCTCATGAACTTTCAGTCTCTCTTCATTGCAGCTAACTCTCTCTTCTAAAAACTGACTTGCGTGATCATGTAACTATCAGTGTGTGATAATCTGCTAAATCCTTGCTAGTTACAGTGGTGGAAAAAGCCATCTGAATACCAAAGGACTAAAGAAACAAATATCTCATGTGAGATCTGCTGGAAGATTAGACAGAAATATATCAAGCGCCACTGAAAAGGTACATCATTCCAGTTCCTTTTTCCATTACAGAAAGTCCACAGTTTGTGCCAGCTTTCTCAGTCGCAGTACCAGTATCACATATTCTTCTATCTTTTCAGATTTCCCATGACACTAAAGATGATAACCAACCAAGTATTTTTTACAAGGAAAGAAACCATCTGGATGACAACATTCAGCCAAGCAGGTGTTTTCTGTTAAGATTCTCTGTTTAATTGGCAGACATTTCACATTGGCATATAAAATAGTTCTGATGAAATTATGGCTTCACTGATTTCCAGAATTTTCCATTTGACTTCACAGGCCCCACTTTTCAGTATTTATGAGGAAAAACACTTAAGTTATCAATATTATTATCCTGCTTCAACRAGCTTTCAGACAAAATCACAATAAGACAAAAGTTATCAGAAAAAGAATTACTCATGGTAAAGATTAATCGGAAGGAAGACAGTGTCAGATCTAAGATGTTCTCAAAAACAAGCTGAAAGGCTCTTGCACAGAAAACATAACCCAATGTGTGAGAGAAGAAAACTGATGTTGGGAGGGGAATCCAAGCATGGCGAAAAGACCAAAAAAAAAAAGAAATATTATGTTGTGTAGAGTTTTAATAATGGATAAAAAAATAGAGGAAACTTAGGCTTGATTTGAAGAAATAAATGAAAATAGTATTACTGGATATGTAGATTCCTTGCAAAAGAATGGAGTGGCTATAAGCAAATATTGTGAACCTAAATTTAATTGTAGAACTTCGTATTTGGACCCTGCTACTTCTTGAGGAAGAAGGTGAAAATAGAAAAAATGGAAGCTATTTTGGATAGGCAGTTAAGTTTGGTGACATGCCAACCCTGTTTTTACTGCTGGATCTTCACACTACCACAGCGGTATCTCTGTAAACAGAGACCATTGTCATGACCTCTTTTTGTGTCTCTCGTTACATAAAATTCTACCTAATTGGGTGTCTGCTAGTCCTTCTCTGTTCGAATGCAGACACTCACGGTTCTTGAAGGTGGTAGCAGGTCCTTTGTAACTTGTTTCAAAAACAATAATCATTTTACTTCTTTCTTTCTCTGTGTTGTCTTTCTTTCTGTTTAGAATGTCAGGTGCTTGCACATCACTGCACAGAGTGCAAGGATCAAAGAGGAGTGTCCCAGAAAGAAGGCAAAGTGTAGCTGAACTGCACAGGATCCCCCCTAACATTAGGGGCATCTCACAAAGGAGCTTTAGCAAGTCAAAAGATGTCCCGATGCAACGTTTTTACTGCAGTGAAAAAAAACAGTCAGAAAGCTCCCACAAGAAGCATGTTGCTGAAGCTACTCCCTGCTCCTCTAAATGGCAAGAAGCATCTGTAGATGAGATGCTTCTTGATTTTGAATCGGTGCAAATTATTAAAGAGGATGCTGAAGATGATAGTGCCAGTGACCTTTCTGATTCAGAAAGGATTCCCATTCCCCCATCTCCCTGCACACCACCAGAACTCATTCTCAGAGCTGAAGAAATTGATCCGGTTTGTTTGGAGCACATCCTCGATACAGGGTTTAAAGAATCAGAATATTATTACCCAGACTTCCTCCCACCGCCTTTCAACTCTTGGGATCTGAAACAGCTGTCCATCTTCGTTCACGTAGAGGGTAAATATGAATTTCGGCCGAAGCCAGCAGGATTTCTGGAGAAATACGTTGATCGCCTTTTGCAGCTGGAATGGCTGCAAATGCAGACTGTACAGAATGAAAAAGGAAAGGCAGCAAAAGCCAGACCTCAAACTGCTCCCAGCTCTGTGCGCCCCTTAAAAAGCTCTGGCAAAGGCAAAGCGCTGCACAGCCCTTTGCCTACCAGGCAAGCAGCTCCCCAAGAGAGCATTACGAAGCTCCCCACAAACTATTCAGGTCACAGGAGAGACTCATACTGTGAAGAAAATCGGCAGTTACACGCGCCTCCAGGTCACCTGAGACCTTCTGAAAGAATAGGTTATGCAGTGGCATCTGAGAGACAATCTGGGGAAGTAAGGAGTGAGTTAAGAAGGAGACCAACTGCAAAGCAGCAGCTTCTCAGTCTGCAGCCCTCTGAAAACAGCTCTAAAATGCAAGGCATTGGGAACATCCGACCCCCTAAGCAGTCCCCTGTATTCCATGCTTCAGCTGCTCCCATTAAAGGCTTAAAAACATATGCATGTACAA